GGGCGCGGCCGCGGACCTGCCCGACGCGCTCGACTGGCGGTCGCGCGGCGTCGTCTCCGAGGTGAAGAACCAGGGCCACTGCGGCTCCTGCTGGACGTTCTCGACCGTCGGTGCCCTCGAGGCGCACCTCGCGCTCAAGCAGGACGCCTGGCGCGCGCCGCGCCTCAGCGAGCAGCAGCTCGTCGACTGCGCGGGCGCCTTCGACACCAAGGGCTGCGCCGGCGGCCTGCCGAGCCACGCCTTCGAGTACGTCAAGTACGCGGGGGGCCTCTCGACGGAGTTCTCCTACCCCTACCGCGGCGTCGACCAGGCCTGCGCCTTCAACGCGACCGCGTCGTCTTCGGGCCTGCCGACGAGCGCCGGCGTCGGCGTCGTCGTCCCCGGCGGGAGCGTCAACATCACCAAGGGCGACGAGGTCTGCTTCGCGGCGTCCCCGCGCGCGACGCGCGTCACCCGCGCGCGTAGGCGGCCCTCAAGTACCACCTGGCGACGAAGGGGCCCGTGTCCGTCGCGTTCCAGGTCGCGTCCGACTTCCGCGACTACGCTTCGGGCGTCTACTCGTCGACCGTGTGCAAGAACGGGGCCATGGACGTGAACCACGCGGTCCTCGCCGTCGGCTACGGCACGGACCCCGTCTCGAACATGACCTACTGGACCATCAAGAACTCCTGGGACTACTCGTGGGGAGACGAAGGGTTTTTCAAGATGGAGTCGTTCGTCAACATGTGCGGCGTCGCGAACTGCAACGCGTACCCGGACCTCTACGGCGCGTGAAGAGGGTGCGGCGCGGAGCTGCGCGGCCGCGGACGACGACCGCGCAACACGGAGCTGCGCGCGCCGCCGCGCGCGCCGCGGACGACGACCGCGCGGCGTGGAAGCCGCGGAGCGCGCGGCCGCGAGACGATCGACCGACGATCGACGAGCCGCGCACTTGGATAACGCAAAACGACGCAACGCAGCACATTCTTACACGTAAACCGAACTAAAAAAACGAGAACTCTGACGTGCTCCCGGAGGGGCTCGAACCCACGGCCTGTGGCTCATAAGACCACCGCTCTAACCAACTGAGCTACGGGGGCTGTCTCTTCCGATGCCTTCTCTCTGCCGCAGCGAATCGAACGCCGACTGCACGAGCTAAAGTCGTGATTCCTACCATTAGAACACAGCAGTCCAAGGAAGCGAACCTCCGACCCGGTGCTCGATGGAATCACGCTCCGGGCACAAAAAAAGCAACATCCGACGGCAGCCCCTCCCCAGTTTTGGACGGGGCTGCCCCGTGCGCGATGGTCGAACGTAACGGCGTGTGCTAGCGGCGTCCTCTTCGCATGGCGGCGAACGTGGCGGCCGACGACGGCCCGTACCGCACCGTGAAAGCGACGAACCGGAAGAGCGGCAAGGTCACGAGCTTTCGCGTGCGCCGGGATGCGACGATGGACGAGATCTCGCGCATGTACGCCAAGCACATGGGGCTCGGACCGGCCGAGAAGGTCGGCGCGCCCTTCTCGGCCGGCGCGCCCGTCGAGCCCGCGGCGGCGGCCGCCGAGCCCGCGATCGCCGCGCCGGCCGAGCCCGAGGTCGCCTCGTCCGCGCGGGCGCCGCCCGCGACGCGCGACTTTAGCGCGGTCAAGGACGCGCTGTCGACGCCGCCGCGCCGGCAGACGCCGCCGCGGCGGGAGCCGTCGGCGACGCCGCCGCGGCACGACCCGGAGACGCTGCGGGCGTCGTCGACGCGGCACCTCATCAACGCGACGCCGGTCTCGACCGCGTCGGCCGCGGGCGCCGCGTCGCCCGCGTTCGGGGACGTCGTCGAGCCGACCGTCGAGGTCCACTGCGACGGCGGCGCGGGCGAGGTCACGCTCTACAAGCGGGGCTTCCGCCAGGGCGTCTCCCTCGACCACGCGTACCGGCCCGCGGGCGAGGACGCTAAGCCTTAGCTAAAGCCCGGGCAGTCGTTGTCGAGGTGCGCGTTGATCTTGGACGTCT